CCTGCCAGGCTAATGTTGCAGTTTTAGTAGAGACCAGGTTTCACCATGTTGGTCATAATGGTCTTGAACTCCTGTCCACGTGATCTGCCTGCCTCAGCCTCCCAAAGTGCTGGGATTACAGGTGTGAGTCACTGTGCCTGGCCCGGTACAAACGTATTTAAAGTCATGCGTACATATTGCAGCCACCCTCCTGAAAAATTATGCTGATTTGCAGTCCCTTGAAAGTGAACAAAGTGGTCAATTTTGCTGTACCCTTAAGAATTCTGCCTGTCTAGTACCTACTGCACACCTCACCTGTGATTACGTCAGTTTAGTTCTCAGATGAACTGCTGCATTAGCCTCCCAACAGGTCTCCCTGATTACTGACATTCCCTCCACTGAGATATTCTCCATGCTGCTGGCAGAGGTATTGTTCCACACCACTGACCTTGACACTTCCCGGATAAAAACCCCCAGTTGTTCCTCAGTCCCCACGAGTTACACGGCAGCACACAATGCCCTTCACAGTCTGCCCCGGCCCCTCTTTTTAGCCTCTTTGGCTGCTCACCTCTAAGTACTCTGAGTAAGCCACACAGAATCTTTTTATTTACAGAACACATGGTGCTCATTCATGGTTCCAAGCCTTTACACACTTGCACTCTATCATGCTTCCTCCCTGAAATTCCAATTCATCCTTCCTGACACAGGGCAGAGGTCCCTTCTGGGATGCTTCCCTGACTTCTTAGGGAATACAGCTAAGCTCACTTCCCACAGCATTATGTTCATATCCACAGCTATGCCACTAACCATTCTGCATTGCATTTATTGGCTTAACTTGTTTTCCCATTGAGTTAGAGGACCTCAAGAACTGTGTCCTATTTATTAACATTTTGTCCTCATTCTGTGCTTTTAGCCACTGAGTCAATGAATATTTATTAATTCCTAATAATGTAACAAGCTATATTTTGAGTGTTCTGATACTGTTTAGCTCAGAAGGGATGGATTGCCTGGATGTGCCATTGTTCCCAGTCCACAACAATCTCTTAAGTGGCTTCCCTTAGCATCTAAGCGTGTCTCTGTTCTGTGCAGTCTTTGATCACAAGCTCCTGTATATTTTTCTATCTCTTTCTAGTCTTTGTCTTAATGTGTTTTATGGCCCCTCCCCTACATTCTTTCAGTCCATCCATCCCACTTTGATTTCACTTATTGAACAAAGTTCAGTGCCACGAGCAGCTAATGGCTTTCCCTTGGTGCTTTCCCTTTTGTTCTTGCTCGGCCCCATAGAGCACCCCAGATGTTAACGTTTTCTGATCCTTTGTACAGGTGGCTAGAGAAACACATAGAATTGTGTTGCCTGGATCATCCTGCTTGTGAACTCTATTCTAATATATATTTATATATTTTCTCTGCCTCTGATTTATTTTTTATTTTCTGTTCTTAGGGATGCCCTGTAAGCAATCTCTATCCTTTGTTGAACAAAGCAGAATATACATCCATACATAAATCAACACATCAATGCAAAAACTCATGCTGCTGTCTATTATTACAGACTAAATGCTTTCAGAAGGCTGCGAGGCACTCCGCTGCTCACCTGTGTACACACTGGCTTGTCTTTTCATACCCCTCACAAGGTTGCTGTTTCAAACCTTTTCTGTTCTCTATTTCAATCACTTGGCCTCAAATTTCTCTTAAAAATAGAGTCCATCTGAGAGATTTTGCTTTGCTTCTGACTCTCTATATTGCCTTGTTTTTTGGGGCCAACCAGTTGGACATCTCCAGAGGGGACAGCTCACATCATGGTGGTGAGCATTGCTTCTGGCTTTGTACTGAAGTCTCCACGATGCCTTCTCCTCTGCCTACAGACCTGTTCCAGTAGATTTCAGTTCATGTACTCAGCTAATAACTTCTCTTTTCATTTTCTATAATGTATCTTAATTTCCAACTCAAAGCCCCATTTTGCTGATGTGGGAAAGAAACTTCCATTCTTCTCAGGGTTTACCTTTTCCTCCTAATGGCTCTTATGCAGTAGGAGAAAATGGGGAGAGAATGAGGAAGGACAGCAATACTTCTCCTTGTTATTGGTCTGCACAGGTCACCATTAAGAAGTCTGTTTTAGGCCAGGTGTGGTGGCTCACACCTCTAATCCTAGCAATTTGGGAGGCTGAGGCAGGTGGATCATCTGAGGTCGGTAGTTCGAGACCAGCCTGACCAACATGGAGAAACTCCATCTTTACTAAAATATATAAATATATATATAAATTGGCCGGGCATGGTGGCACATGTCTGTAATTCCAGTTGCTCAGGAGGCTGAGGCAGGAGAATTGCTTGAACCCAGGAGATGGAGGTTACAATGAGCGGAGCTGCGCCACTGTGCTCCAGCCTGGGTAACCAGAGGGAAACTCCATCTCAAAAAAACACACACACAAAAAAAAAAAAAAAAAAAAAAAAATCCAAGAAGTCTGTTTTAACACTTCTTGACAAGGAGGCAACTTTGCTGAGCCTACTCAAAGCCCTGTATTCATAAACAGATTACACAGCTCTTTTAATCTCAGGTCTGAGCTCCTTCTGTGAGGCTACGGCAAGTCAGAGCCCTCATAATCTGCTCTTGGAATCCACAACTGGCTTTCTCTCTACTTCCTCCTGCTTCTTTGCCTCTGGAAATCTCTAGTAGGGGGAAATAAGTCTCCTTTCATTTTTTTTTTTTTTTTTTTTTTCAGGAAATTGGTTCTCTGACAAACTTAGTCAAACCCTAAGTTAGGATTCTTTTTCTAATTTCTCCCAAGAGCTTAATAGTTTGGGAAACAACAAGAAAAAAACCAGGAAGACCTTTGAATAAGGGCAAGACTGACTGAATGCCTTAAATGTCAGGGAAATGATCAGAATAATACATCAAATGGTATTCCTATCATAGTAAACACAAAGCAAGCAAACAAAAAACAGTCTCTGATTCTTCTAGAAGCATCCTATTCTTGGTACCAGAAGCCCTTTTGAAAAAAAAAATCACCATCTATTGTCTTCATTCTATTTTAGTCATCCCTTTAGCCACTTGCAATCTGGCTTTACTTCTAGCATTCTACTAAAAACACTCTCTCTGAATCTCCAACTGTTTTTAGTTTTTTCCTCCTTCTCTCCTAACTTCCTTTTTACCTTCCAACCTCCCTCTTTTCTTCTGTATTATTCGACTGTTTAGTGGCAGACTGTGCATTGGAGAAACAAGAATGAATTAGACTCTTCCTGGGTTTTAAAAATAATTTTTAATTTTTAAAAGAGATATGGTTGCCAATCTCTGAATATGTTGCCCACTCTGACCTTGAACTCCTGGGCTCAAGTGATTCCTCTCTTCCTCAGCCTTCCTCAATAGGTGGGATTACAGGTGCATGCCACAGTGCTGGCTGTTCCTTTTTTTAAGGCATTTAAGATCAGGTGAGGCACGTAAGTAAATAAATCAGCAAGTACTTCACAAAAATTTGTTGCTTCTGCTTTTGATGCTAGGAAAACCCTGGCTCCTTCTTGTTGATGTTCAAGTTTCTAATCCCTCCTCCTTCCATCTCCTCTCTTGCTTGTTCACTGGCTCCTCTTAAATTTCCCATTCACCCAGCTATTTTCATGACTTTGTCCTGGGTTTCCTCCCTCAGAGAAGTTCTGGGTGTTCACATGGATGAACAGTACAGCTGACTCTTGGGCCCAATATCTAGATCCGTCTGTAGGCTGTTGTTTATAATAGCCAGCTAAACAAATGCAGCTAGATTTCCTCTTCTCACCTCTCCTTCTGTTAATGTCACCACCACTGTCTTTCAGCAAAGTTTAAAACCAGGCTGGGTGCAGTGGCATACAGGTGTACTCCCAGCACTTTGGGAGGCTGAGGCAGGTGCATCACTTGAGCCCAGGAGTTCAAGGACAGCCTGGGCAACGTAGGAAGACCCTGTCACAAAACAACAGCAACAACAAAAATGGCAGCACATTTTTCAACCCTCCACATCCAGCCAACTGCTCTTTTCTTTCTCCCCATTTTACTTTGATTGAACTTATATAGGACAGAACTTTTTCTTTGCTTTTCTTCATGCCTGGAACAGAGAGTTCTTTGCTAGATGATCACAAGATCCTGGAAACTCTCCCTAGTCCAAACTTTACTTACATGTCAGAATTAGCTTTCAGTAGTACCACATCTGTCTTATGGTTTTCTTTGTCACATCCTGCATTGCCTCTTTTTTGTCCATTGGATTAAATTTGAGTTCTTCACCCAGCAGTCAGTGCCTCTATGATATAGTCCAAATTATGTTTCCAGCTTTATCTCCAAGTAGGCTTTTGTGAATATCTGATATACTACAGCATACATATGCCATTCCTCAGATGCCAGGTATATTGCCTAATTGCCTTTGCTTCTGTTTGTATAGCTAGAATGTATTATTCTATAGGATATGGAATGTACCCATTGCTTCTTGTTGAAATCTTAGCCGTATTTAAAACTTCTTAAGGGTTTTATTCCATGAATCAGTTCAGGTCTCTCTAACCAGATACTGTCTTTTCCTCCACTGATTTCCCAGAGCACTTTGTTTCAACCTCTTGTGTGGCTGTTACCTTACTCCTCCCTATATAATGATTACTTATTTCTCTCATCCACTTGTGAAGCTTCAGTCTTCTTAGAGATGGTGCCTCTTCTTATTCATTTTGCAGATTTAACAGTGTATATTGTTGTATCTTCTATATAAAGGGACCCAGTATCTATTCTCTCTTTCTCTTTAGTAACAGAACTCTCATTTTTTTCCCTTCTTCTTCTTTCAGGATGATAATGTGCCCAGCTAAAAATACTTACTCTCCAAGCTCCCCTGCAGTCAGGTGGCCAAATGAGTCAGTTCTATACACGGAGATGAAAGCTGAGGGTTTCTGACTTTCTAGATATAGGCACCACACTCCTTTCTGGTTTACCTTCTGCCTGGAATATGGACCTGATTCTAGTCTTCTGGCCATTAGATGATAATCTTCAGGGTGAAAATTAACTCATTGTTTCTTTCATTTAACAGATATTTACTGAATACATGCTGTTGTGCCAGGCACTATTGTGGATGCTTTAAAAAGCAGCAGAGCAGAAGGAAAGAAGCTGAATCCCTGATGGCATCATGAAACATTGCCGCATCTTTAACTGTTTACCTCTGGACTCCATGAATCCCCTTCTCTTCAAGCTAATTTTACTCAGTTGTTTGATCATTTTCTGTTATTTAAAAAGAAAGCTGAATGAGTTTCTTATATACACGATGCTGTTCTATTACTGATCCAAAGCCTAGAATTGTAAGTGAGACTGGCTTAGGTTTATTTTCTTCTTGAAATAATCATGTGAATTTTCTCCTTTATTCTGTTAGTTTCTGTTGATTTTCAGATGTTAACCAGTCTTGCATTCTTGTAATCAACTTTACTCAATTTGAATGTATTTATTATCTGTTTGTATTAGTGGATTCAACTTGCTAATGTTTTGTTTGGGATTTTTGCATTATGTTCATGAGAGATACTGGCCTATATTTTCCTTCCTTGTAATGTTAATGTCAAGTTTGATATCAAGGTTATGCTGGCCTTGTGAGTTGGGAAACAGTTTTTCTTTTGATTTTCAGGAAGAGTTTGCCTAACATTGTTCTTCCTTAGATAATTAAAATAATTTACTGGTGAACCTCTTTGGGCTTGGAGCTTTCATTGTTTTAGTTATGGATTTAATTTCTTTTCCTTTCTTTTTTTTTCTTTTGAGACAGAGTCTCACTCTGTCACCCAGGCTGGAGTGCAGTGGCAAGATCTCGGCTCAATGCAGCCTCTGCCTCCGGAGTTCAAGCGATTATCCTGCCTCAGCCTCCTGAGTAGCTGGGATTACAGGTGCACACCACCATGTCCATCTAATTTTTGTATTTTTATTAGAGACAGGGTTTCGCCATGTTGCTCAGGCTCATCTTGAACTCCTGACCTTGTGATCTGCTGCCTCAACCTCCCAAAGTGCTGTGATTACAGGTGTGAGCCGCCGTGCCTGGCGATTCAATTTCTTTTTTTTTTTTTTGAGATGGAGTTTCGCTCTTGTTACTCAGGCTGGAGTGCAATGGTGTGATCTCGGCTCACCGCAACCTCCGCCTCCTGGGTTCAGGCAATTCTCCTGCCTCAGCCTCCCGAGTAGCTGGGATTACAGGTGTGCACCAGCATGCCCAGCTAATTTTTTGTATTTTTAGTAGAGACGGGATTTCACCATGTTGACCAGGATGGTCTTGATCTCTTGACCTCGTGATCCACCCTCCTCGGCCTCCCAAAGTGCTGGGATTACAGGCGTGAGCCACCACGCCCGGCCTGATTCAATTTCTTTAACAGATAGAGGGCTATTGGATTTTCTATTGGAGGAGGGAAGAGATATTGGTCAAAGGATACAGAATTTTAGTAAGATAGCAGGAAAAAATTAAAGACATCTATTGTATAAGATGGTGGTTGTAGTTAATCACAATGTGTTGTATTTTTGAAAATTGCTAAGAGAATAGATTTTAACTGTTCTCACGGTAAAAAATAAGTATGTGAGATTGTGCATGTTATTTAGCTCAATTTAGCCACTCCATAATGCATTCATATATCAAAACATCATGTTATGTAAGACAAATATATATAATTTTTTGTCAATTAAACATAAATAAAATTTGTCTTTCTAAAGTCACTTTTGGTACTTTAGGCTTTACAAGCAGTTTGTTTATCTAAAATCAAATTTATCTTCATTATCTTTTTAATATCTATAGAATCTACAATAAAGTTCCACTTATGTAAGATATTAAAAATATATTCTCATTTTCTTGATTAATTTTTCTTGAAGTTTATCAGCTTTTACATTTGTTTTCAGATAACTACCTTTTGCCTTAATTTTCACTGGTATATGTTTGCTTTCTTTTTTATTGATTTCTGCTCCTAATTTTCTACTGCTTTCCAGGGTTTAATTTGCTGGGTTTTTTCCAGCCTAGTTTCTTGAGATGGAAGCTTATATCCTTGATATTTAATGCTTCTATTTAAAAGAGGTACTCAAAGTTATATGTTTTCCTCTAAGTACTGCATTAGCTGTATAGAACAAATCATACATCATATTTTAATGTTTTTAAAATTGACAAATGAAAAATTGTATATATTCATAATGTACATTGTGATATTGTACATCATTATATGTATTTTGATAGACATATACATTGTAGAGTGATTAAATCAAGTTAACTTATGTATCCAGCACTTCACATATTGACTTTTTGTGATGAGGACATTTAAAATCTACTCTCTTAGCAATTTTGAAGCATACAATATGTTATCGTTAACTATAGTCACTATGCTGTACAACAGATCTCCAGAACTTACTCCTCTTGTCTAATTGAAACTTTTTGTGCTTTGACCAACATTTCACCATCCCTCTAAAACTCCTCTCCCCACCCCTAGCCTTTGCTAATCACCACCATTCTACTTCCTGCTTCCATGAGTTTGATTTTTTTTTAATTCCACATGTAAGTGAGAGTTTATAGTATCTGTCTTTCTGTGCTTGGCTTACTTCACTTAAGATAATGTCCTCCAGGTTCATCCATGTTGTCACAAATGACAGAATTTCCTTTTTTTTAAGGCCAAGTAATATTCCATTGTGTATATATTTTCTTCATTCATTCACTGTTAGCCAGTTAGGTTGATTCCTTATCTTGGCTATTGTGAATAACGCTACAATGAACATGGGAGTGCAAGTATCTCTTCAACATAACTGATTTCATTTCTTTTGGGTATCTATACTCAAAATAAAATTGCTGGATCATATGGTAATTCTATTTTTAATTTTTCACGGAACTCCATACTGTTTTCCATATGGCTGTACTAATTTACAGTCTCATGAACAGTGTATAAGGGATCCCTTTTCTTGCTAACGCTTCTTATCTTTTGTCTTTTTCATAAAAGCTATCGTTACAGGTGTGAAGTGATATCTCATTGTGGTTTTAATTTGCATTTCTCTAATGATTAGTGATGCTGAGCATTTTTCATATACCTGTTGCCCTTGATATTTTTTATTAAGAAATGTCTACTCAGGTCTTTTACCCATTTTAAAATCAGGTTATTTGCTTTCTTGCTATTGAGTTGTGTTCCTTATACATTTTGGATGTTAACTTCTTATCCAATGTGTTGTATGCAAATGTCTTCTCCCATTCCATATGTGGTCTCTTCACTCTGTTGATTGTTTCCTTTGCTGTGTGTGCAGAATTTTTTCAGTTAGATGCTATTCCCATTTGGCTACTTGTGCTTTTGTTGCCTGTGCTTTGTGGTCATTAATATGTCGTATTTTGCTATCATTTAGGTCAAAATATTCTCTCTCTCTCTCTTTTTCAGGGTCTCCATCACCCAGGCTGGAGTGCAGTGGCATGATTATGGCTCACTGCAATTTTGACTTCCCCAGGCTCAGTGATCCTCCCACCTCCTTCTCCTGGGTAGCTGGAACTATAGGTGCACACCACCATGCTGGACTAATTTTTTAGAGATGGGTTTTCACCATGTTGCCCAAGCTGGTCTTGAACTCCTGGGTTTAAGTGATCCTCCCACCTCAGCATCCCAAAGTGTTGAGATTACTGGTGTGAACCACTGTGCTCGGCCTCACAATATTTTCTAATTTGCATTGTGATTTCTTCTTTGATCCATTGGTTATTTAGAAATATATTGCCTAATTTACAAACAGTTTGGAATAGTCTAGTTACTTTTCAATTATTGATTTATAGGTTAATTCCACTGTGGTAAAAAAAAAACCTTACTCTGGGTGATTATATTCTTTAAAGTTTGTTAAAATTTTTCTTTATGGCCCATTATAAGATTTATTTTAGTGAATGTTCCGTGTGCATAGTTAAGAATGCATATTCCCAAATTGTTGCATATCACCTTTTATATGTATTAGTTATGTCAATTATTAATCATATTGTTAAAATCTATATATTTTTTGTTGCCTACTGTCAGTTACTGAGCAAAACATGTTATAATTTTTAGTTACAATGAATTTGTCTATTTTGTTTTATATATTTCAAAACTGTGTTATTAAAAACATAAAAATCCATGACTTCTTCCTGGTGAATTGTCGCTTGTATCATTGTAAAATGTTCCTGTGAATTTCTTGCCATACTTCTTAAGTTAGACTCATTTTAATGTGATATTATTATAGCTACACCAATTTTCTTTTGGGTAAAGTTACCATCTTTTTACATTCAAATTTTCTGTTTTTATATTTATGATGTGTGTCTTATCAGTCATGTTTGAATCTTAGTTCTTTTACCCTTCGTTAGCTAAAGCCCAGTTTCTTGACTGTAAAATAGAGATGATTAAGTATATATAACTGTCTATATGCTATATAGGATTATACATGTATAATTTAATGTGTGTGTATATATACATGCACTAAAATCTTACTATCAACTATTGTGATTTAATAGATGCACAGTTTTTTTTTGAGACAGGATCTTGCTCTGTCAACCAGGCTGGAGTGTAGTGGCACCGTCATGGCTCACTGCAGCCTCTGCCTCCTGGGTTAAAGAGATTCTCCTGCTTCAGCCTCCTGAGTAGCTGGGACCACAGGTGCATGCTATCATACTCAGCTAATTTTTTTTGTATTTTTTTAGATGGGGTTTTGCCATATTGTTTAGGCTGGTCTTGAAATTTTGGGCTCAAACACTCTGCGTGTCTCAGCTTCTAAAAGTGTCGAGATTACAGGAGTGAGCCACCATGCCTGGCCAATCTACTATTTAAAACACAGAATTAGTTTTTTCAATTTCATTCCAATTCTATTCCAGTGTAGTCCTTATTATATGGTAATATCATAGTACATCATGTTAAGGGAAAAATACCTCTCTGCTGTTTGAATTTCTGGTTCCTTATTATGAAGGTAAATCTGGGGAAAACATTAATGCAATTCTATTCCTCCTTCTCTGTAACACTGCCTCAGAAAGGAAAATTAAAGCTCTAACCTCTGACTTTTATGAGTGTAGGAGATAGTCTAATTTTTTTTTCAGAATAAAGGTAAAAAACCCCACCAATTAGAAGCTATTAGAAGCTTATTAGAAAATACTTGATTCCTTAAAGATTATAATTTTTCACTTGAGTTTAAAAGTCTCTTCTCTCTTCTTTTATCCATCTGTCCAGTAATGTATTCATTTTACATATATTGAAATTTTATTATGTAGTAGGGACTGAAGGTACAAACATCGGTATGATAAAGTCTCTCCTTCTGGAAGAGAAGTAAGAAAGTCTAGTATGGAAGAAAGATTAATATTAGGAAAACCTTATACTCTTTGATATATAAAGGACAGCAGTATGTACAGGGTACTATGACAACAAATAGAAGAAAAAGTAAACCTCCATCTGGAATCCTCCCATTTGTTGCTGCCTATCTTGCGGATGACTCAGATTTCCTAGATGAATGGGCATTTGAATTGGGCCTTTAGAATGACTTGTCATTAGTTAGGTGAGCCAAACAAGCACTTGTACAGGAAAAAGAGGCACTCAAAGTATTTTAAGCAGAAAGAGATTTGTTATAGGAACTTATGTGCTTATGCAATTATTGGAAGGATGAGAAGAATGGGCTCCATCCTGAGCCTCCAGAAATGAATCACAGAATGCCACCTATTATGGGAGCTACTATCTTTATATTTCAGGAGGTGAGAATCAAGAGGCTCACTAGACCAATTAACTTAAACATGGTGCTGTAATTCAGACCAAGGCATTCCGGAGCTGGGATCAGGAAGCCACTGCTACCAATAGTTGACCACTCAGTACCCATAACACTGGAAACTGTAGTCTGGAATGCAGAAATATCCATACCTGCACAACTCTTCTTGCCTGCAGGAAGGAAGCAGTGAAAAGCAGTTGGAAGGTGGTATTTCCTTCACTTCTACCTTCAGATCTTTGACTGAATGGACCTGATACAGCCTGTTTCACACTCAGGAATCTAACGGCAAGAGAGTCTGGAAAACAAAATTTGTAGTTTTCTAGGCTTTGCTGTACAAAGGCGAGTACACTGGGAGGAGATAGGAACAAAGACAGAATGCAGATCAATTATCAAACATACCAGGTGAAAATGAGATAGGAAGAGAAGAGTCAGATGGAGAGGATAGTATGTGGGAAAAAAAAAAAAATAACATGGAGATTTTGAGAAATTTCTGAGATGGCTGAATAGGGGAAACAAGAAAAGATGAATCGAGAGAGAAATATTGTCTGGATAATGAGAATGAGCTGGGAGAGAGTGGCGGAGAGGAGGATTATGAAACTTAGGCACACCAGGTAAGAGGTTATCGCCTTAATAAAGGTGAGTGACAACACTGGCTTGAACTAAGACAATAGTGATAGAAACAGGAGAGACAATTTTGAGAGATAGTTAAAATATTATGATCATTTTTATTGTATGCTTTTTTCTTCATTGCAATTTTTCTTTAGGAATGCCCTCTTTCTTCTAGTTTTTTGATTTTTTAAAATATGAAGCTTATAGAATATGTCATTCCAGCCCATGGCAATTTCCTATTTGCTGAGCATTGGCAAAAGTTGTGGTCAGTGTTGTTTCAATTTTGATGTAGTTTCATATGTTAGTTGCCTTCCCAGTTAAAAGAAGACACTTAAAGAGCAGGGATTATATTTTATACTTACTTGACGTAACATTTGAACATTCTGACTAAGGCACATAGAATTAATAGATACATCTCCTGGAAAGTTTCCAGAGCAAAAGGTAAAGTTTGAAAATTGTTATAAAACCAATTACAGGAGTCTTACAAGTCTTGATTACATGGAGGGTCTAAAAAAAGTAGAATGGAGAAAAGATCTTAAAGAGGATTTTTTTTTTTTTTTTGGAGAGAGTTGTGCTGAGATTCTAAATCTCCCCAAGGGTGGAGGATAAAGTACTGGCAGCTCATTTCAAGCCTAGTGCAAGGGACTTATTAGGAGCACTCACTGAACCTGATATGAAATTGAGACACAGAGCAGACCAGTGTTTGCCTCCTGTTTGAGAAATCTAACAGGCACGAGACAGGCTGGTTGCATTAGATGGATGAACCAGAGGAGTATGTATGACTCATATCAAGGGACTCTTGGATGAGAAGTTCTCAGTGATGCAGTTCTTTCTAAGAATCCACAAAGTAGCTTCTGAGAGTCAGTGTTAGAAGAGAGTATGATGGTACTAATTAGGCAAGAGTTTTCTTGTCCCACCTCAGCTCACCTCTCTTCTTTTTTTTTTTTTCCTTTTTTTTGGAGGCAGAGTCTTGCTCTGTCTCCAGGCACCAGGCTAGAGTGAGTGCAGTGGCACGATCTTGGCTCACTGCAAAGTCCCCCTCCCGGTTCAAGCAATTCTCCTGCCTCAGCCTCCCGAGTAGCTGGGACTACAGGCGTGCGCCACCACGCCCAGCTAATTTTTGTATTTTTAGTAGAGACGGGGTTTCACCATGTTGGCCAGGATGGTCTCCATCTCTTTACCTTGTGATCTGCCCGACTTGGCCTCCCAAAGTGCTGTGATTACAGGCGTGAGCCACCGCACCAGGCCCGCCTCTCTTCTTAACACCATTTGACCTTGAAGAAAAGATTTGAACCAGATTAACAAAATAGAAAGGGGGTGGTACAAGGAAAAGGACTCCTCCTCCCCATCTCCCTTTCCCTTTCTTACTTCCTATCTATGGAAATGCTTACAGGGAAAGGGGGAAGAAGAAGTTTTCATGTCTTTTTTCTTCTTCTTCTTCTTTTTTTTTTGGAGACAGTCTCGCTCTGTTGCCAGGAGTCAAGCTGGAGTACAGTGGCTCGATCTCAGCTCACGGCAACCTCCATCTCCCGGGTTCAAGCAATTCTCCTGCCTCAGCCCCTCAGCCTCCCAAGTAGCTGGGGCTACAGGCGTGTGCCACCACGCCCAGCTAATTTTTGTATTTTTTAGTAGAGATGAGTTTTCACCATGTTGGCCAGGATGGTCTCGATCCCCTGACCTTGTGATCCACCTGCTTCGAAGCCTCCCAAAGTGCTGGGATTACAGGCGTGAGCCACCGCGCGGCCCATTTCAAATTAGGTTTGAAGTTTTGATAATTGCCTATAGTTGGGTTCTCTTAATTATGAATTTGAGACTATGTTTGCAGCTGGAAAGGACTGTTAAAGTTCCGTTTACCTGACAGGTTAGAGGAATCACGGGAGTTTTGAGTTTCTGTCTCCATTAGTGAAAGCAAATTTCCCATCCATTAAACCTTAAAAAGAAGAGGGGGAGACAGTAAAAAGTTGCTTGGTGATTATATCCCTACCCCATTACTTCTGTTTGGTTACATACTGGTTAAACCTGTTCATTCCCAGAGGCCCTGCTGGCGAACTCCTGGGTGGAAGTGGAAAAGGCAACATGTTGATATAAGGAGTTTCTGCTACATGCTAGCTGTGGACCTTTGTGAAACATACATACTTCCTGTACATCATGGTTTCTCAATCTGCAAAATAAAGTGAATACATAATGTCTGCTTTTTAAATGTCACAGTATTGTTGGGAAGATCAAATAAGACAGCACACTTGAAAAGGTTTCCAAATTCCAACAGGTACTCAAAATCAATTAAGTGCTTCATGATTGATGTACCTTGACTTAGAAGGCTCATGAAACATTTCCCTCTTCCCCATGGACCAAGCCATGCTAAATCCATAGCTAATAAGAACAGCTAAAGAAAAAAAAAAAAAAAAAAGAAACTCCAGAAGAGGATATTTCACAGCATCCCCCAGTGGCCCATTCCTGTTTCTCACACTGCCAGGATAATCTGTTCTGCCTGAGTATTCTTAATGCTTTATCACCACTTACAAAAGCCATTGACGACTTAGCACTAATGAAAGTTTTCTTCTCCAAATCATTTTTTCAACACCCTCTCCAACATGCATGTTGAATTACTGGCCAATTACCTGGAAACTGAAGTGAGCCCAAGAGATTCAGTGAATTATTAAGAAATCATTTACAGAAAGAAGTAATGTCAATGGAGATGGTTGATTGAAAAAGTATCTTTATTTGTCTCATAAAAGGTCTAAGAAGGTAGAAAAGAGCAGGAGGGGACTGGTAAAAAGGTTCTTTTAGGTCAA